CCGCTGCGGCATCTCCCAGACAAACACAGCTCAGCCGGCTCTAGGCTAGTGGGGATGTTAACTCTGAAACCTAACGGAGGCGATGGCAATAAGTAGCGTTTGCGTGAGGTTTCCCAGCTGGGAGGTGATAAATGAGGGCGGGGCCTGGGGAGGGTATTACCTTTACCCTAATTTACCTCTGATTGGTAACTGTTTTAGGCAGGGTTTTTTCATCTCTAGCCACTTAAGGGTGCTACGGCCAAGAAAAGAAGGAATTCTTCTGGTGGGTTTTTAAGGTAACCCCCTTATCTGTGATTCGGGAGGAACAGTTGTTTCAGTTGCATGTTAAGACCCCACCAGTCTGAAGGATGGATGAGGTGGGAGAGGTTGGTTACAGTAAGGTGCTGGTATTTACAGCTTGAGTGCAAGTGTTGCTGCTTATTTAGTAAGTGAGTACAGCTCATCAGCGAGCAGAATGTCAGGAAGCTGCAGCACAAGGCTGCTGCTGAAGTTGGGATTCAGCCACAGCCTGGGGAGTGGGGAACAGTCAGCAAGTGGGGATGAGGTGGGTCACCCGGGTGCTACCCCTACAAGACGTGGCCACGTGTAAACCCACTACAAGGCACACCCTTGCCTCTGCAATCCCCTTATATTGGCATTTGCTCTTTTCCTCCATTAACTTGCATTTTATGGCTTATTTCCTTCAGGGGTATGTGCATCATGGACTATTAATCTCATTTTATCATAGAGCAGTAGTACTTTTAGTGCACTGCCCTTTTGCTTTTATAGAAGGTACCGTATGAAATAAAAATGGGCTTGTGTCTGTGTGCTTTCTAAGAATGAGTAAAATAGCTCGAGACTCTTGCTGTCCTGTTAGTTTGGGTTTAGGATGGGCTCGTTTATACTTTGGCTTCCTAAAATCATTGCAAATACAGCCACAACATGTATCTTTCTGTGTGGCCCCCCGGTTGCATTGCTACAGAGTTTGAATTTGTTGCCCAATTTTGGCTCAGCTTGAGGTGGAGTCTCAAGGCAAACTCCTTGCAAAAGACCAGCCTTCAAGGTGGGCACCCGCAGGCAGTGTGCAGGAGGCAGATGTGTGGAGGTGCAGGTGTGCTTTTGTGGTACGTGTGTTAGAGAGCTTCGCTGTGGCCCCTCCCTCACGCTGCTCCTGGGGGGCCTGTTCCTTTAGAGGAGGCACACCCAAAATTCCCCGGCTGCTCTCCTGCTGCGGGGCTGGGAGGCGCCGTGTGTTAAACCCCTGCTGCGAGTGCTGCAGCCATACCTGCCTGCCCCCAGCCTGCAGCTGCCACGGAAATCAGCCTGTTACAGCTTTGGACCCCAGTCAGGGTTAAAAATGCACATGTAAACCCAACATCAAGTGGCATCCCTTCCCCCCAGAGGCTGGCACTGGGGGTTTCTCGTCCTACTTCACCTGTTTGGTCTTTGCACCCGAGACAGTCGCAAAAGACCCTTTGTAAACCACCGAATTTGGGTGTACTCCTGAGCTCCCAGATCTGCATGCGTGCCACAGCAGCTGCACCTTGACCTCGTGTTACAGTGAGATCTGGGTGTAAACCAGCTTTTTTCTCTGCTTTTACACCTTGACTTCTTCAAGAAAAACTCATAGCCTGCCTATGAGTCAGGAGAGAGAGCTGGTGAGCTCAGGCCAAGTCACAAGCAGGATCCTTAGGGGAGGGACACTCAGGAAGCCCATGGCAGACACTCACTGCTCAGTATAGACACAGAGCCAGCCAAAGAGAGGCATGAGTACAAAAATGCATTGCTACAGGAAGAGCAGGAATAGACTTTATTTAATAATTTGTACAAGGAACACAATAGTAATTCAATAATTCCATTTATTAATTGTCAAATAGTAATCCACTGCAATAAGAAAAAATCAAGACAAAAAATAAGTTGTGGTGTGTGTGTGCATGTGACTTAACATGGCAAGAGCAAGAACAAAAAATAAACCTTTAAATGCATATGTTACATACAGTAAGTGTCATCATGTTACTTTGCTGGATAGATTAATTTGGTGTTATCCAATCTTAGCAAAAGACCTAAATATTACTGCAAATAACTGGAGGGCAAACCCAAAGCAGAAAAACAAGCCCATAAATAAGATGCAGGATTAAAGGTATCTCCTGCAGAAAAGAAACAGTGGTGCTTTGTGTAATATCTGAAAACCCTTTCATAATGGATATTTTGTGCTAAACCTCTTTATGTGAACATACATGGAATTCCATCATTTAAATAAAAGTGGAAAAAACCCCAGCCTTTCAAAACTGCCTTTTTTTCCCTCCCTTTGCTCGATGTGTTTAAATTATTTTTTCTATACAAGGTAAGTACATTGTCTGTACAAAGTTAAATATACATATTTACAGTCAAACTTCTGAGATACTTCTCTTCTGCTGCCCCAGACGGAACACAAGCCTACTCAATTTCAAACCCAGGAGCATGGCTTGTTTATCAAAACGTTGCAAGTCGTGCTAACAGTTAGTTGTAGTTATTCTTAATAAATCTGTATAAAAGCGTCAGCATAAAAATAGGCATTTCATATTATTAAATACGGCTTATGACAAAATAGCAATCTAACCTTTTGCTATTTGTATGGTAACTGTAGGAAGCAGAGTCTGATAGGACCAGGTTTGTTTATGCTTTTTCTTAATAAAATGTGTATCAAAAGAGTATTCGTAGTAGATTTACAGGCAAGCAGACAGCCAAGCCATGGTTGGTGTTTGGTTTTTTTCTCTTTCCAAGGAAATATGACTCTATGTAACTAGTAATAACTGCTGGGAACAGCTTTCCAAATTGATTAGACTTTTTTGTATGACTAAGAGGCAGCCAAAATGCATGTATTTATTTGAGACCTACCATCAATACTATAACCAAAAAGGAAAAAAAAAAAAAAAAAAGGCACCCTCAGTGATATATTGGCTCAGATTTATCAGAGCCTTTAAGATTTAATGCCAGGAAAGAAGCAGTCTTCCTCCTGAAGAGTATGCTTCCAATAGTGTGTGATCCTTTAGGGCCAGCAACAGGACAGGAGGAGCAGAGAAAGTGAATGGCCATCGGCCTCATAAACAGGACTTGCTCCTGCAGGTGCTCTGTTTATTGGTTCTATTCTTTGTGCAGATAAATGTCAAAGCCAGGCTGATTTCTCCTTAAAAACCAGGACTTAATTTTGATGCACACAATACACTCACACACACACAACCCCTGCACAAAAGAAGAAAAAAACAACCCTGCAGAGATAGGTAACCTTATTAAAGGGTTTGGGATTTTTGCACATTTGCATTATGCTTTGGCTGAACTCTCCAGATTAAACCACCAGTCCCAAACTCCTTTTCCACACGGAGCTCTGCAGCATAACCATATCAGCTGTTCTCTGCCTCTGCTGGGTCTTAAGGTGCATGACATGAAGGAAGGGTTTTCTAGAGAAGTGAAGGCAGAGCAAAGTGAGTTTTCAGTGAGGCAGAAACTGGGCAGAAAACCTGGCCTCCCTGAACCTTACCAGTGAAAGGGAGCAGCTGCGAGGCTGCATACTGCCCCAAAGCACTATCCTATCTTCACACACAAACAAAACCTATGCCATGTGCTTCCCTGAAGCCTTTTCAGAGGTAAGTGCTCCATACAAATTAAGATTATCACCAGAACTCTTGCTGGGGAGAGGAGAGGAATACACAAAGGCAGCACTGTAAACTAGAAACTGTCTCTTCTTCAGCAAACAAATCACGCCCTGAAACCCTGGAAGCAGGGCTACACATTCAACTCAATACTGTACCACATAACCACATCCTCCTAACATGTCTTGTCTCTTGTCATTACATTCATAAATTGTCATTTTCTTCACTGTTAAAAAACACCATCTGGAAAACAATCCCCTCGCTGTCACGGTGGGATCATTGCTATTTTACAGGTACAGAAGCTTCACGTAGTTGCCTGGGAAGGTGCCAAACTGCCTCGTTCTCCTGGATGTACCTGATGCAAAACAAAAAAACAATGATGACAAGAGTCAGATGGAGCCACGCAAGGAAGGCTTAGAGGTTTAAAAAGGCTGAGGTGTTTAAGCCTCTTCTGCCTGCAGGCATTGCTTTCTAAAACTAAACAACAATCCTGGTCAGAGTTTTTTGGTATAGATGAGATCCCAACTAGTTCTGCTACTAATTATCTTTAGTCTTCCTTTTTAACAATTAATAAGGGTGCTGGTGAAAGCTCCTGGGCCTACAGGCTAGGAGCCAAACTCCTATCAGTGTAAATGAGATAATCTCCCCTAAAAAGAGATAACAAGCCTAGATTTGCAGTGTTGAGATGGAGAACACTGTCCAGGCTTGCATTCTTTGAAGGTAAAAGGCTATATTTTGCTAAACATATAGCTACAGGTGAGGCTGGATTTTCAAGGACTGCAACTCCCATCCGTGTGTTCCCTTTATCCCCTACGAACCACTTTCTGTAACTTGCCATGGCTCCCTCAGCTTTGGAAAATGCTACAGAAACCCAGTTTTCCTTGGTTCCCTCTGTTGCTCTGCCATCTGTGTGAGCAAGAAGGACCAGGAGGAAGAGGGCAACAGGGAAACTAAGAAGAGGAAAAAAGGAAAAACTAGAGACCTAGCAAGGAAAACATAGCTCCACCATCCTGCACCCTAATTTTAATGTTCTTGGTGGGAAAAGATGAGAAAATGTGAAAAAAATTGAGCTGTTTTTTTCAACGTTTCGACCTCACAAATGAAAGCAACTTCCAGATGCTCTGGAAAATTGCTCATCTGCATCTCAAAAAGCTCTGTTGATAGCCAAGTATCACACTCACCCACAAACCAGCCGTCGTCACATTTCTCCATGACGTCGACAATGTCGCCGTCCCTTAGTTCCAGCTCATCATCATTCTGAGGAGTGTAGCTGTAGAGGGCTTGGTAGCTAACTCTAAATCCAGAGAGACACTGCACGTTAGCCACTGGATATCAGTTGCACTAGGGGCACTCTGTATTTATCAGAAAGGAACCTTATGGAGTGGAAACAATCTTTGGGCAAATGCAGGACAGGCATGGATCCCCTGCCTGTGGGGAGTAAAACCAGAGCTCACATGCAACTTGCTGTTCTGCATAAAGGGGCAGGGGAAAACAAAGGCTCCTTTCAGGAGTCAGCTGCCAAGGAAGGAACTTCAGTCTACAGCCCACAGTGCAGGCTGCTATTCTCAAAATCATCAGTGAAAGGCCTCACGCCAAGCTTCATGGCAGCTCTGGCTTTAAACCCACCAGACAGGTTTGAAAATCTCAACTTTGGTCAGTCAGATCACTCAAGCCACCAATTCATCCGTGGCATCAGTGCTGGGGCTGCTGACTGCTGTGAGAAGCTAAGATCAGGGTGAACATATCAACCCATGCCACATGAGCCAGGCATAGCCAAGGGATTTTAAGTTGTCTCCAGCTTCAAAATATAAAGATGATGAGACTGTCTCCATAACCAGCATGAATCAAATGCCCAAAGGACAGACAGTCCTGGATCACGAGGCCATTGTTTCAGGTGCTATACAGACACAAAGGTCCCAGTTCTGAACTACTCATTATAATGATATGTAGCTATTTTTGTTCTTTAAAGAAAAGCTGACATATTTCAATAATTCTAACTCCTGAAACACTGAAGCTTTCACACCTCCCCTTCTTTCCCACCAGTGAAAGACAAGGCCCCTGGAAGAGATGGGAGCCAAAAGGACTTACATGTCTCGTGGTGTTTGACTTCTGTCAGGGCTGGCTCCTTGCTGCTGTGCTTGAGGTTGCTGAGAAATGATGAGAGATGGTTTATGGTCATTAGAGGTCACCTTGTGGCGAGAGTCAAGAGGCTGAGAAATAGTACTGCAGTAATGAACAGACTTTTCTGCAATGTTTATGATCTCATTGCAAACAGCTTCCTGCGTGGTAGGCAGCATTGACATCCAAGAACACCCAAAGAACAGTCAACAGGGGGGAGGGAGGGGAAAATATAGACAAGAAGAGATGGGACATTCCAGATGCAGTACATAAGTCCAGTAAAAAAAAAAAATAAATAGAGTTGTAGATCCAGGTACATGTCCAGGTAGTGGAGTGCAGAAGGGATCCAGGTGTAAGCATGGAAAAACAGGCAAGATACAGAAGAATGTGGCATTTAGTTTGAAGATTTGTAACAAATACATATACATATTTTTTTTAAAAGCAGCAGCAGCATAAAAGGTTGCAATTAGTTATGCAGTAGCACCATTACAAATGCTATGAAGTCAGTTCAAGAATGCAAGGTGGCCGCTCCAGTCATGCATTTTGCTTCATTTAACTTATACCCAGGGACTGGCAGCACAACTAGCCCCACTTCTCTCTGGCTACAACAGTTTTTCCAATTGCTAAATTCCCTTCTTCTGTTGCAAACAAAACAATATATGCAGATAGGTAAGTATGTACCTACTTTGTAGCTAAAAATAGTGCTGGCATTTTATCTCTGCTGACACTGTCATTGTCTGGGTGAAGAGTCTAGGACTACACATCTGATTTAAACAGTGGCCTTACCACATAGCTCTTTTCAGACTCTGTGAGATCTGGTCCAGCTCTCAATGAATGGTGGGAAGGCTGTGTGATCACCAAGCAAATGACAAGGAAGACATTTTAGCAGATGTTATATTGGTCATAATTAAAAAAAAATAAAAAAAAATGGAGTGCAGACAACAAAAGAAAATTAACAACTCTTCCCCTCCCCAACCCAACACCACCATGCTTCTTGGACAACAAGGTCTTTCATTTACACAAGAGACATTAAAGCTACAGTAATGCAACTGCACTGCAGCACACAGAATGCTGCAAAGAGAAAGGTGACAGCAAGGGAGAAGCTCAGAGCAGGGAATCAGAGTGAAAGGCTATGGACACCACCACAGTCAGAAATGGTACATCGTGTCATACTACATTCCTGTAGGGGGAAAAAATCACAAGGACAGAAGCACATACTTGAGAGCATCATACTTGAAAGGCCACATGTATGCCCAGAGAAATCTGCTGCTGTTTTTAGAAAAGTCCTCCATGACTTTGACACAGGAGAGAACAGTAACTCGCTTGCTTCTTAAAAAAGACCAGCCCAGGTCCTCGGGAGGCACGATGCCATGTAGCCCCACCAAAATTACTTCAGCCTGTAGCAAGTAAGGATCTGAGCTGCTCCATTAATTCCCACAATGAGGCAGAGCTTCAGGTCAGAGGAGGCACAGAATGGAAAACCCACCACCTGTGAAGTTTCTGGACTCTGCCCTGACTCTCTCCACAGCCACAGCTCTTCACAGGGACTCACATGTCTCAGGGCACAGCAAGGAAAATCAGGGTGTTTGGGCTTGGAAGTGTTACGGGGAAGGAGAAGGTCACTGAGAAATTCACACAGGTCTCCAGAGCCTGGTTTTGCACATTCAAACATCTACTGAAAGCAAGGGGCATGCTGTGAACAAATGGGGTGTCTTTGGTTGGCTTATTGGTACTACCTGCAGGACTGCTTGGCAAAGTGGACTAGATAAGATACAGAGCATTGCCATTCAACACAATTTTCAACCCAAATTCCAAAGGCCTCAATTTTTATGCTTTCCCTCCTCCTCTTTATTCACTTCAACAGTGTCCTTCAGTAAAAGGCTTGCTTTCTCACAGCATCCTGAGACAGAGCAGAAGCAGAGGATAAGGAGGTTTGTGACACCTCGAGCGCAAGCATACTCAAAGAATTTGGAGAAGTGTAGGGTGGTGAGCTCATCCCTGTCCAATTTCCATTCTCAAAGTTTCTTTGAACTGCACCTTGGACCTCTGGAGCTGTGTCCATCATTATATTAAAGCAAATCATCTCTTCTCAAGGACTGTGATCCACTCTAGGCTAACCCAATCCCACAGCAACTCCTTTGTAATTAGATGTCCTGTCTGGGGCTGGAATCATCAATTGCCCTAATCATCATTGCAATAATGAAAATTGCCATCATCATTGCCCTAAGAAACAATGGAACCTGAAATTGTCACAGGATTTCTGGAAGTCATTCCTCCCTGTCTATTATCAGCCCTGAAAGGCAAATGGAATAATATTGTGCAGACAACTGGATGTTGTGCATCAAATCTGATGAGATCAGAGCTAACTCAGGTGGTCAAGTAGCTAGGGAAACAAATTTCCAGGCTGAGGTGAGAGGTAGCTGTAAGGATTTATTTGTTTGTTTGTCTGTTTTTTTAATTCAAGAAAGTGCTTCTCTGCTCCATAGTAATAAATTTACTACAGGAATTGCTCCATGAGCTCTTAAGACCATGTGGTCCATTTCTCATTAACTACTTGTGGCTTCCCTGACCAGCTATTTCTCAAAAAAGCATTAATAACTATGAATTAAATGAGTTACTTGAAAGCTAAAAAATTGACACTCCCTCTGAATGCTCCATGGTTCAGGCTTGTATGCCTAATACCAGGAGGTGCAGCCTTCCAGCACCAGAAACTTGGCCAAATTCCTGGCAGGATCCTCCCTCATGGGGACTTATATGAGGCATCGGGGCAGGGGCAGAGACCAAGCAGAGACCATGCCATCCTAGAAGCCTGAAGTTTTTGACAAGACACACAACTAGAGTGGATCCTCTCTGGCTTCTGCCCCAGAAATCCAGGCAGCTCCTACCAAAGCAGTGGGTGTCTCTGCACTAGCTCCCAGGGCTATGGCAGAGCTGTACAGTGAGGTGATGAAACACTCTGAAGTCAGCAGCTACTCAGCATTAGACAAACAGGATGAAAAGCTGGCCAGATCAGACCCCATGATTTTAGGCTGCAAATGTACCATCCCACTAGCCCAAGCAAGTGACCTTCATAGCATGGCCTTGATGGCTTTTATTTTTTTTAATTATTTATTAAAAGCCTCCTACATTATTATTGCAGAAAGAGAAGAGAATAAAGGGGAAAAAGTAGTGTTATAGGTCCAAATGGTCTTCAAACATGGGTTTGGAAAGCCCATGTACTACCTACAGTGGTGTCTCCATGTGCTAGAGGTAGCTGAGGAATCAGTGAGTGTGGAGCACAGCTCCAAAGTACAAAACACAGAGGTTCCCTCAAAACACTGAGGTTCCCTCAAAACACTGAGCTAGCTCTGCCACTGCTGAGGGTAAACTGAGGGCCCTAAAAGTGACGAAATATTCACAGTCCATGAAGACAACTCAACTCTACTCCCTCAGCCACACTACACGCTTGGTTAAGACTAAGTGAAAAAATTGAAGCAAGTGCTTCGTGTCCGTGTCCCCATCTCTACAGATGATGCAAATCTGCAGTACAAGCAGTCCTGAAGCACACCTGGCCACTGCACCCACCTCATACAGAGTCTGAAGAAGGACCTAAAGATCACCAAAGGTTTGTAAGAATACCAGGCAACAGTTCTGTGTTAAAAGCCTAGAAAAGCCCTGAGACAGGTTTCAACTGTTAGGAAAAAAGATGCTGGGCCTACTCAGTAATGTTCTCCATGCTCCTAGCAAAGTCAAGTGTCATCAGTGTATGCATCCATTGCAGCTCTTGTTTATGTGTCTTCTTCCATCCCTTTCTGGTGGGAGTTAAAGGACTGCATAAGCAAAGAGAAAGCTAAGCAGGACAAACTAACAGACAGACAAGACAGACAAACAAATTGGTGTCCCCTCAGAGAAAGGCACTCATCAGCAGTGATGCTCCCAGATTATATGAATGGAGAACCATGAGCAGGGAGGACTCCTCAGCCCAGCCAAGAGAAAAAAGGAAAACCACGTCACACACCAGGCCCCAGCTCTGCTGAAAGCAAGGGGAAAGCTGGCCAAAGAGCTCTCACAAAAGAAAGTGAATACGCTGCAGTGTGGAGAAGTCTGAACTGAAGGCTGTCAAAGTCAACTGAAAAACTCCCCAGCCCCTAGGTCAGAAGCTGAAGGCTGTGTCTGCAGCAGGAAAATGCATCTCCCGTGGGAAGCAGGTACCAGTGCTTGCTGCAGGCTCTGCAGCTCTGGCCTGGACACTGGGTGGGGATAAAAGCTTACCTTGGAGGTGGTGCTAAGTAATGACCATGCTAAGTAAACTAGCTGGTCTGTGCTGGGGAACATGGGGTCTGAGCATCCTCCTCATATGCTCTTCCTCTCCATCAGCACAAAGGGGATAAAATTATTCACCACCCTGCTAACAGGACCTCAGAGTAAAATAGGAATTAAACTAGAAAATTCCTGAGGGTCCCTTGAAATTAATGTGATAGATCACATTACTGCTTAATATCATGTTTTACTGGAATATTGAAAGAAATTATCTGTAAATTATACTGGAAATATCTTTCACATGTTGTGTGGTCACTCTTTTTTCTTTTGAGTTTGGACTGTAAAACTAAGCAAATGGGAGTAACTTCAGAGTAACATAAAAAGCCATTGCACTTTATATTATTACTTAATGGAACAGGCAAGAACACAGTCCTTACACTATCTCTGTGCCAAAGAGGTCTTAAACCTGCAAAAAAACCCTGGCTCAGTATTTCATAACTGGGGAGGTTCTTTATAATGAGAAAGAAAACTAAAATTCAAAATGGTAAAATACCAGGGTTGGATATTAATAGAAACAAAAACCAAATTAATTGTCTCATTTCCACGCCTATGAAGTGTTCTTCTCATTTGATTAAAGTCACTGAATAGATGACAGATTTTTTTAAAAGGCCTCTAGGATATAACCTGCAGTTCTGCTGAAGGCAGCAGCCTCTGTATGGGTCACACAGATAATGGGAAGTCATTTGTACATATGAATACTGCTCCTGCTCCCTGAACAACTGTAGACCCACAGCTGGAAAGGACATCAAGACTACTGATAATGTTACACACCACTTTAACTTGACACTGACAATATTCTGATTGTCAAGGCATACAAAATATAAATTTTGCCTTGACTTCAGCTCCAAAGAAAGGCCACAGGGTCCTGTTACAACCAGGTGCCACACCAAAAATAGAATTGCGTGCCAGTCAGCACTCACTAGAAACATCTTTCCCTC